GAGGACGGGGCTGGTGTCTCTCCCCGGACGGTCCTTTTGGCTCCCGGTTATGAAGCTCAAACCGTGCCCCACTCCCCAAACCCCTCCTCCGCCAGGCAGGATGGAGCCATTCGGTGCTGATAATAGCGCCGGGGTGGGAGCGTGAGCAGCACTTTCAAGTCTTGTCTGGTCATTGGAGATTGAGGTGTACCCATCTTACACAGCACCAAACAGACAGCAGAAATATTCTGTTCACAAGTCTTCACTGTTTTATTCTATTGTAGAAGGTGTTGTCATGAACCTTTATATGTAATCTGGAGCCCTAACAGGCAAGACATAAAAACATTACGAAGTAGAGACATAAAATATCAACCTCTCTTTCGCAGCTGTGCTCATATGACCAAAATCTGTTCTAATAAACAAGTCAGTGGTATGTAAATCTTCTTACAAGGCACTGAAGGTGAAAAAATTGTAATTTAGTTGGGCTCATATAGCTAAACAACAGCTATGTTATAGCAACATTATAATCTCCCCAAAGCATTATGGGATAACATGAAATCACTCTTCTGCAAGAGAAGGATAAATAACACTTTCATCAAAATATCTTCTCCTGTATTGGGTAGGTCAAACCAGTTAATAGTGTTAATCATCCAGACTCAGGAAAAGGAGGCAGTTTAAGAACACCCCAAAGAACGGGTGTCCCACCCAGAGTCTTCTATTTCATTTTTTTCACGTAGGTTTCTTTTTTTTTTATTTATTTATTTTTAAGGCAACAGCCCTGCAACTTGGGTCTCCCTGTGTTTCAATGCAGCATTATCATGTGCAAAGTCAAAGCCAGCAGCGGAAGGAAGAGAGAACGGGAAAGCTGGTGAGCACTGCTGGTGTCTGTGCGGGTGTGGCTGGACCGCCCATGGCCCCGGGGCTGGGATTCGACCGTGATGTAGCCATTAATGATGCGGATCCGGGGAGGATGGTCGGTAGCACTGCAAGGCAAGAGAAGAACATCAGTCCAGACCCAGCCCAGAACTGCCCAACAGCCACAGAGCAAGAGGTGGTCAGTCTCTGTGCCCCACTGTTAGTCTTCTGGGTTCACAGGAATGGTCTCTTGTACAAGTTACACTCTCACCAAAAGTCTTTGTCTCCTAACGGCAGAGTGCTGTCTTGTCCCTTCCTCACAAGCGTGGGCAGCACCCATGCCAGCCCACAAGGACGAGGGTGCTACCCGGCTGAACTATGGAGTAGTCTTGAAGAGCAACAAGCAAGAGAGA